TAGAGATAAATAAGCGAAACGCCAGAATGATCAAGTCAATCAATTCATTGATGTATTGAGATTCACTTTGAAATAATGATCAAAATGTTTCAAATTTTTTTTATTTCACTATTATTCGGAACGATTTAATGATGATGATTCAGCAACAATTTAATTTTTAAATGCCATCATCCAATTAGCTAAATTTGGAGGAAAATTCTCGCATTTTTCTTGAAAACAGATTACAGAATAAATTCAATGGATACATTCTATTCCAATGATGAACAATCAAATAATAAAAATAACAATAACGGTGAGTATCTATACTTTTTATTAGATTTCTTCTATGGATTGACTGATGAAATAGATATGCAAATGAATGGAAACAAAACAAGTGAAAACAACAACAACTGAAACTTTTTACTTTCAATTTAGATTAGATTAATAATAACGTAATGAATATGCAGAAAGAAAGAAAAACTATTTATGAATAAAATGATCAAGAAAAACTTCCCTCACCATCACCATCCTTTCAAACAGAGAAAATGTAATTTGATGAATGATTTATTACCATCACCATCATGGGCAACAACTACAACACGGGAAAAATTTTATCCATAAGATTATTAAATAGCTATAGTATAGTATATTGATACGAAAATTCGATATAAAAATAATAAACTTTATGTCCAGATAAAAACATTGTGGACATCTGCTGCTGCTGCTGCTGCTGCTGTGTGTGTGTGTGTGTGTGTGCAATGTGGTCTACATTGTCAATCACATTAAATAAAAAAAGATAAATATAAATAAAAATTCATTTTTTTTGGCCGTTTCAATGAAATCAGAATATAACATACAAACATTAGAAATTTCTTGGCATTTTCAAAATAATTTTCTGTTTGACTATGTGTGTGCATGTGTGTGTGTGTGCATTTATTGTAATTTTATGGATTAAATTCAAAGAACAGATTCTGTTGTTGTTGTTGTTGTTGACTTTGAGACTATCATCAACATTTTTATCATAATCATGGTTATGAACATAATAATAATAATAACAATGATGATAAGACGATTAACAATTTCAAATGAAACGAAACATATTGAGAAAAAAGTATGAAAAGAAAATGGAAAAATATTCATCATGATTTTCTCCTTTGTATTAATAATAATTCTCTTCAATGATTAATCTGATTCTGATTCATGTATTGTTATTATACTGGATTGATTTTTATCAATCTACAATATTATCAATGTATGTTGTTTTTTTTTTTTTTATTGAATAGAATATCATTCTTTGCAAAAAAAAAAAGAAATCATGATAACATAACACAAACAAAAAATGTTGAATACATAAATACCTTGCACAAGAAAAAAAAACAGAAGATGTCTGCAATCATATTGATAAGAAAAATTGTGAGAACATAAAAAAAACAAGAATAATAAAAAAAATCCTATATCCAATTCCTATCTATATATATATAAAAATGTTGATCACGTTTTTCATCATTGGAAATTGCCAAAAAAAAAAAAAAAAAAAAAATTACCCAAAATAAAAGAATCTGAAAAATAATTTTCTTTTCACAAATTTTCGATTGTCTATTAATTCAATAATATATAATAATGGAACAAAAAATAATGAAATTTTATTACAGATGATGATTGAAAATACAAATAATCATTGTGCGTGTGTTTAGACAATGAATGAAAAAAAAATCTAGTCCAATCATTATGGAATTGACATTGACACAATCGAATGAATAGTATGGACAAAATGAAAAACATCATTACAATCATATTATGGGTTTGTCCATAAATGAACCAAGAATAATTCATTTATTAATTAAAAACACAATGGACGTAAAGGTTTTTGTTTGTGTTTTCAATTTATACAACGAGAATAAAACAATAATAATAATTGATTGAAAAGAAGGGGTAATCAAAGATTTTATAAATTGAAATTAAAATGAAAAAAACTAAGAAAACAAAGAAAATGGAAACGGATAGTTTTTTGACCAGAATAATTCCATATGGAATTCAATTCATGTATGAATGATCCAATCATTAATATGAAAATAAATTGAATGATTCTAATGAAAATAAAATCAATTCGATCTGATTTGGTTGCTTACAATATTCCCGAAAGTATCTTTGAAATGAAAACACACAAACACACATATAGAATTTTATCATTGAAAAATAAATGAACAAAATGATAATATGGAATGAAAAGAAACGCAAAACAAATCAAATCTTCCAAGTGTTTAGAATAATAACAACAACAGCAACAACAATTGGAAATTCAGTAAAAAGAGAGAGAGAGAGAAGAATACTAGATAAATTGATTAAGAAGCTCAAAGTTCTTCACAAACAAACAAACAAACAAACATAAACATTGGATATAAACAAATATATATACTCACATCTTACATCTATGTGTGTAAAGAGGATTTGTGTGTGTTTTTCTGTTTGTTCCAGAATGTTTCATCATCATGCCAAGAAATACTTTTAAAGAGACATAGATAATATATATATGGAATAGAAAATGCAAAACACTTTTTTATGAAAAAAAATATGATTCATGTCAGTACATACAAAATTCTATATATATATGAATAAACCCATGGAATTTTGTTTATTTTTTTTCATATTCTTTTTTTCCGTTTTTGGATGGATTCGATTCACAAATTCTTGAATCAGATTTGATTCAATTTCAACTGTCAATGTATTTTTTGATTTATTTTTTCTGATATGTTTTACAAGTGACAACTAAAAAAAAAAAAAATTGTTTCTCTCGTTATGATTCATTGCCATTGGTTTGTTATTCGAATATCAATTTTTGACGTTCATTTTTTATTTTTTAGTTCTGGAAAAATTTTCTGATAAAAAACCATCAAATTCCATAACAAAGACACAACCAAAAAAAAAACTAGAAAAACAAACTGATTGGCTATTTTTGTTTTCGTAATCTAAATAATGGCTGGCTAGCCACACAAATAAACAAACAAAAATCGACAGATTAGATATTCGATTCTGGTGTTTGTGGTTGAAGCGAAAAAAAAATTCCGAAATAACTTGCACAAATATAACATAAATAGATTGGTAAATCTAACGAACTGGAAAAATACTAAAGATTTTGAAACAAAGAGAAAAAATAAAACCAAGAAAACCAGAAAAAAAACAAATCAAATCAAAAAAATCCAAGAATATGATTATATTTCAAAATCGGATCCATTCATAAATGAAGCATATTATAATCCTTAGAATTTCCAATTGATTTTCCATTTTTCATTCTTTTTTTTTGCTGAATTTAAATTTTTTCTTTTGAAACCTATAATTATCACAATGAATGTGTGCGTGTTTCATTTTTATTTCTGGACCAATACGACGCCCTTGATATTATACGACACCGTTGGCCACATAGAGATCATTACTCACGTATTCAAAAAAAAAAACAACAGATAATTCATTGCAATATCAGACACACGTATGCATATCATATCATTGTCATTTTGAATGGTGAAAAAAATTTATATTTCCATAGTGTTCATTCATTGTCAAGGTCATAAGAATTGATTAAACTTCTGAATAAAATAAAAAACCTGGAAATAAAAACCTTTTTTCTGGCTTGCTGAAAAATCAATGAATTTAATTGATTCGAATATTCATTTGGAACAGAATTTATAGAATAAGGTGAAATAGAAAAAAAAATAATCCATTATATGATAAACTTCTGTTTGTAAAGTTATTCAGTAAAGGTTTTGTTTTCGTATATTTCTGGTTCAAATGGAATTTTTTTTCTCTCCATATTAACATTTAGGGTTTTTTGGTTTCCTCATTCTTTATCATTGGTTGGATTAAAAATCGGGCGTCAGCTCAAATTTTTTTTGTTTTATTTCTTCACATTTGTTGGCGAGTTCCAGATGCGACACAATTTCTCTCTCTCTCTCTCTCTCTCTCTCTCTCTCTCTCTCTCTCTCTCTCTCTCTCTCTCTCTCTCTCTCTCTCTCTCTCTCGTGTTTCTCTCTCTCTCTCTCTCTCTCTCTCTCTCTCTCTCTCTCTCTCTCTTTGTCGTTGTGTTTGTTTTTTTTTTTTTCACCATCATCTCACAATTCATTCATTCATTCATATTGAATGAAACTCAAATGTTTGAAATGTTGAAAGCAATATCCATTGAACAGAAAAGACATTCAGTCAGACAGTCAAGCAAAGCAAAGAAAAAAATTCATTAAACATCGATGACAGCGATTCGATGAAGAGTGAAAGAAAAGAAAAAAGAAAAAAAACCAACGAAAAACATAAATGTTTGATGTGTACACACACCCACTCATACCCGATATTTTTCTATATATTCTATTATTATTCAAAATATATTTGGCATTCTTTAATGAAATAAAATAGAAAAAAAAATCATTGTCATTGATTATGATGATGATGATGAAAATGATGATACAAATGTCAAAAAAAAAAAATAAATACACAGATATCAACAATCGGGTAAAGGAAAAAAAGACACAAACACACACACACACACACACACACACACACTGAATAAACATAAACATTGTAAGAATTTCAAAAACAATGACATAAAAAATGTAGTGAAAAAAAAAATTCAACAGAAAAAAAAAAAAAAAAAAATAGTCGCACATTTCTTTCTTCGCGCTGGTATTAGTGTTATGGTGTCAAAATTTGTTATTGACAAATAATAATTAATGAATTAATTCTTAGATGGACTAATACTACGTTTTTTCAACAATGATAATGATGTAATATGAGATGTTACAATCGTTCTATTCTTTCATCATCATCATCATCATAATTTTGAAAACTTTGGAAATTTCAATCAATTGACAAAACCATTACATAAGATGCACTATATACAAACAAAGAGACCTAAAAAAGCAAAGTTTCAAATTACCATGAAAAAAATCATAAACTTTAAAACTTTTTGAATTAAGAAAATGTGAAAAAACAATAGAATTTAGAGAGAGAGAAAGAGAGAAAAAAATCAGTATACTAACTTGACATTGAAAGCCTTGTTTACCAAATCCCCAGATAAAATCTTTACAATGTGAACAAAAAGTTGGCTGTTTAAAGAAACGTGGAAGAAATTTATGATCCTGTACAGCGAATATGGTTTTCTTTTTCAATGCACCTTTACGTGCACGTGCTGCTAGACCACGAGAACGTGTGAAACCACCACCACCACTACTGATACTAATTCCGCTTCCAGCTGTAAATAATGATTGGCCATCATTTTCTATTGATTGTTGTTGCTGTTGTTGTTGCGTTATTGATGATGATGATATTGAACAAGTGGATGACGATGTTGTCGATGATGTTGATGATGTGAGCATTGTTGAATTAGATCTTGAACGATTATTTTTTGGTGATTTTGTTTCATTTGTAGCAGTGATTATTGTTGTTGGAATCGATGTTGATATTGATGATGATGATGATGGTAGTGGTGGTGGTGGTGAAACACATTGTATTGATTGATTCGATTCAATTGGTGATGATATTTTGTCTTCATTGTTGTTATAATTCGTGTTGGTCGCATTTAAAATTGTTGTCGACGATGATGGTGATGATGACATTTTCGATGAATTCATTTTTGCTGCTAATTAATATAATACACTTGTAGAATTATTATTATCTTCATGGATAAACAATGTTGACGGTGGTAGTAGTGGTGGTATAACGATTATTGAATCATCATCATTAGATAAATTTTTCAATGTTTTTCTATTAATTATTAATTTATTTGTTGAATATTTCTATCATTAGAATCACTGATTTTAAAACATTTAATTTGATCGTATCAATTAAATTGTCCAAAATCATCATCATCGATTAATGATGATGATGATGATGATGATAATTGATGTGAACGACCACAATTTGATTGTATGAATTCATCATCGTTGATGAATTAATGTTGATGTTTAGAATGTTTGTTGTTGTTATTGTTGTTGTTGTTGTTGTCTTTGTCATCGTAGCCACAGTTATAATGTTTTTGTTGTCGTCATATATCTGTTTGAATTTCCATTTATCCTTATTATTTATATATTCGATTTTAGCTTCTGCTCCATGATGATGATGTCGGTTATTTAAAATGCTGCTGCTGCTGCTGATTTTGCTTCAACTGTTGTTGTTGCTGCTTCTATAATCATCTACTAACAGCATATATTCTGAATTGAATATTTCAATCCTTGAACTTTGTATATGATCATTATGATGATGAATAAAGGAAGTGGAATGATTCTATGATGATGATGATGATGATATTGCTATTATAATCTAACGGTTTATATGTTGTACAGAATCGATTGCTACCTACAAAATATATACATACTATGCTGCTAGCATATTTTGAATCGAACATATATTATTCTTTATGATGATTCCACTATTATTCTTGTTGTTGTGGCTGTTTTTTTCAGTCATTCTTTGAATGAAAATTTTTTTTTTGTATTTTTCAAAAAAAAACTTTAATTTTTTCTAATGGCTTAACGACCAACAAATAAAAAAAAAACAAAACAAAACCACGCACTTGAATGTTGGCAATTATTATGATATATAGTAACGCACAACGGATCTAATGGATCGATGTAAGTATTCGTGTTTTTTTTTTGCCAAGAAAAATAACTGTCATGAAAAAAAAGAATCCAAATTAAAACCAATTACAAATGAATTATCAGTGTTAGCTAATGTTTTCAACAAATTCAGTGAATGTAAAAAAGAAGATAAAAATCATTCAATGAATATATGGTGATGATGATCGTGGCCAAAATTAATTTGAACAGAAAAAAAAATTTTCCACGCCCGAATTATTCTGGTTTCCTATCTCTTTCTCGCATTCAGTATACAGGTTTTGTCTTTTCTCTTCGATTTCGATCTTTATTCCAGGTCGTCATTATATTTTTGTGCCGGAATCTCAATTTTTTTTATGACATTCTACTCTTGTAATTTAGCATTGAAATTCTATGAATAAAAGTTTCATAGGCAATGTTTACTTATACAATTCAATCCATCCATTCATTTATTTATTTATTTATTTATTCATTCATTATTGAAAACACTCAAAATAAATGATGAAAATGAGAAAAAAAATGACAAAATTCCGAGAAAATGCAACTCTTTTCTTTTTCTTTATTATTCACACACAGTCACATTCTATTATTATTATTCCAGAATCGATTATTTTTCATGGTTGATTACTAAGTTATGCTCTAGGTAATAGGTGGTAGGAGTGTGTGTGTGTGTGTGTGTGTGGGTATTGTGATCATAATTATCGAATACTTCATATTCACACAGACACCGTCATTATCATTGTTGTTACTATTGAAAATGACGATAATCATAATGATGATGATGATGATGATGATGATAGAAAAAAAGCTTTTTTTTCATTCATTTATTCATTCAAAATGAAGTGAAATAAAAGAAAATTACTTGAAAACAAAAAGAAATTAGCTAGAATTAATCACACACATTCACAAAAGCAAATGAGCATGAATGGAATTTACGTCATAAAAAGGTCTGAGATACCATTTTTTTAATAGATATCGTCCTTTTTAATATCATCATCATCATCATCATCATTATCATTATATTTTTCATTATTATTGTTGTTGTTGTTGTTGTTGGTTTAGTCATTTCAAGTCAATATATTCGATGTTATAAATCATATTGAAATATTGGTGTTTTTATTATTTTTCTGGTTATCATCTGCATCTTGTTGAACATTTTCAAACATACCCACACCTATACCATAGATTCCATTGGAAATTGATACGAAATATTTTGAGTTCTATGTACAAAAATCAGGAAAAAAGGAAAATTTCCACATCAAGCTATTGTTTTCCTAATGAATTTTTTTTTCATTCCTTTTCAGTGTTTATAGAAATTTCTCGAATATTTTTTTTTTTTATTCTGTTCAAGAGATCCTAGATCAGAGATTTTATTTTTTTTTTTGTATTCGGTTTAATATCAAAATAATGGATACAATATGGAGAAAATAGACAACTAGATCACAACAGAAAAAAAGTTTTATGCGGTAAATTTTACGCTCAAATTGTAGCCTTGTCATTGTGTTTTTGTGTCAGTATTGTGTGTGCATCGATGATTGGTCCATTTATTCATGTGAAATTTCGTTTCACAATCTTCTGCATCGCTTAACATGCACACATGAACAAAACAAAACTGAGATCCTGGAACAACTCGAAATGATGATGATGATGAAATGTAATAAAAAAAAAGCGAAAAAAACAAATAAAACAACAGAATGAATCCACTGTATAACATTGAAATTAACCCGAGAACCAATATAATATAAAACTAGGAACAACGACAATAATAAGAGAAAAAAAAACGACAGGAATTTGTTTCATTTATTTTTATGATGACCATTATGAATATGGGTTAATGGTGTATCATGAATGTATGTGTGTGTGTGTGTGTTTGCAACGAAAAAAAAATCCAAAAAATAAAATAATCTGGTCCGAAAAAAAATTGCCGGACCAAAAAAAAAACAACAACAAAAACAAAAACAAAAACGACAAGATAAATCTGAATCGATTTGATCATTAGAAGTTTTATTCTAGCCATAGAATTCGATTCGAATATCCAGGATTATTTCTCACATTTAATTAACCAATAATTACCGCGATTATTGGTAATAATAATTATTATAATAAATTAAAATCTACAGGCCCGTTATGATTCGATATCATCAATAATAATAATAATCATCATCATTAAGAAAACAAAAAATATCGATTGTTATTATATAACGATACAGTAATTTGGGTTACGTTCCAAAATTTTGTACCGTAAAGCGAAACAGCGTTAATCTAGGCACTAGATTCTAGGGTGTTTTACTGTATATTGATTCAAAAAAAAAAAAGAAATCGAATACCAATTTTTTTGGTTGTTTTTTTCATTTATTTTTGAAAAAAAATTCAATTACACAATGATGAAATTGTTTTGAGCAAACGAAAAAATTGTTTTTTTTTCGTTTCATTGTTCCGTATCATATATGTAGTTAATATTAATACGGTTCCCATTATTGATAAAAAATTGAATCGAAATATAAATTCCTGGCGTATATATCGGGTTCATATTTCGATTAGGTATTTTTTTTTTTGAAAAAAAAATAATCAAAAAAAAGAGGAGAGAGATGAAGTTAAATAACTATGGGATGGGATTTTATTCAGGCTAAAAAACAAAACTCCGGAATAAAATGGTCATCTACAACAACAACAAATGGTGTCAAGGTCGTTTGTTCGCATACAAACACACACACACACGTATATGAGAATTATAATTATGAATTATTCGAATATCTTTTGGTTATATGGAAAAAAAATTTCCTGTGAAAAAAAATGAAAATAAACGGAACAAAAAAAAAGAAGAAATTTCCTCCGGAAATGATGAATAGTATTCTTTTCAAAGTAAAAACACTCATTTCTCAATTTCATTTTATTAAGAATCTATCTACATACAGATCCAGAACAAGAAGCGATCATGATGAGTAGATAGATGAATGAATAAATAAATAAATAAACATTTTTTTTTATCATGATGATGGATGTATACACACACACACACACACACACGCAAAGACACAATAATTGAATCTAAAAAAAAAATATTAGATTCGAAGCATTGATGATTGTGTGTGTGTTGACTGTCAACGAAAATTCGATTGACAAGGTTCTGTGAAAATGTATTTCTTGTATTCATGATGATGATTGCACGCTAAACGACAATAAACATCTTTTAAGAATTTTTTTTTTGAATTTATTGAGATGCGAAAGAGAGAGAGAGAACCAGAAAAAAATGAAATGGTTAATGGTTTGCTATCACCACCAACATCCATGATGATGACAACGATCAAATCTCCATTAAATGATTGATCAAAAAAAATCTGTTTTTTTTGGAGGGCATACAAACACAGTAGAAACGTTCGATTAGAATTTTTTTCTTCTTCAGAATATTCAAAACAAAAAAAAATTTGAATTTAAATTGGAGTTTTTTTACGTTTTGAATTATAACGTTGATGGCATATGTTAATCGACTTCGATGAATGTTTATTTCATTGATTCTTTTCATAAAGATTTTTTTTCTCACTTTCTCCACGGTTGAAATAGTATTTGTATCGATTTATTTTAATGATCATTATCATAGTGAAGTTTTCTGTGTGTTAAAAAGTCTGATTCGATTTTTGTTGTTGTTGTTGTTGATGCTGTTGTAAAGAATCCAAATCGAATTTCAGTGCGGATAATGACTATACATCAATGAATTACTAAAAAAAAGGGAAGAATTTTTATCAAGATAGCAAAAAAAAAAAAGAATAACGGAATCAAGATTGAAACAAATTGACATTATTGGTTGTTGTCATTGACACACAAACACATTATATTCATATACCTGAAATCTGATCAAATACTAGCTTGTGAAACTGTGAAATAAAAACGAACAAACAAACAAAAAAAAAAAAAATCGATTCTTTAAATGGGGAAAAAAAACTTTTTGGGTTTTTTTGGACAAACTTTTGAAAAAAAAACTAATCGATCCTTGACAAAAATGAAACAAAATTGAAGCTAGAATGAGATGGAACTGTGGTAAAAGTCAAATAAATTACCATAGCCAATTTTTAAATTATTTTTTTTGTCATTCATCCAGAAAAACCAAAAACGAATTATCATATACAATCATCAAGAACTTTTACCATAAAAAAACAACGAAAATAATTCGACAATTCAGCAAGAATAATCATGTGTTAATCATCATGTGAATGAATGTATGAAAATAGAAATTCTATTAACAATGTGAATTGTAAACAAAGAAAAAAAAATTTCTTTTTTTTTTGCTGTAATAAGATACTGTTAGATCATCATTATTAAATTATGTGTCAACTGTCAATCGTGGTGAATGCGTGGGAGATGATAATTTCTTTTAAAAATTCTTTTGAAATTCTTCTGACCTACTAATGTGTATGTTCATCATTCATTCATTTATTCATTCGATTTTCGATTTCCATTAAACATACACACGCACACACACACACACACACCAAGTTAATAATTATCGAAGCTTGAGGCTTAAACAAAAGTTTTCCTTATTTTTCCTTTCTAGTCATCATCATCATCAATAAAAATAAAAATAAAAATTCTTTGCCAAAAATAAATTTATTCCGAAATGAAAAAAAAATAAAAATTCCATTCGACAACCAAACGATAATGATGATGATGATGAGGATCGACAAGAAAGAATAATAATTGGAATCTTCTTTGTCATCGTTTTCATCATCCAATTATAATTTCTATTTGATCACAGAAAAATAAAAAGACAATAATGGCCACATGAATTTTTGCCACATATCCATTGAACAATGTAGTTTGTCTGTGGCTGTGGTAACATTGATGATGGTGGTTAGAAAGAAGATATTAAGCCTCTGGGCCTAGTGATGATGGCATAATGTTGGTTCGTGGAATCAATAATAATAATAATAATGATAATAAAGTTTCGAAAATTGAATCAACCAGAATTTATGATTAGACATATAATCAATCGAATAACTTATGAACGGAAGTTTTTTTTTTTGAAATTATAGTGAGTTGACATTTTCAAAAAAAAAAATGTTTTTTACATTGTCATCTGAGAAAGAGTTTACTTTGGGTTTAAAATGATTGAATTGAATTTAGTGTGTGTGTGTGTGTTGGCAAAAAAAAACCGAGAACAATGGAATCAACTGATAATGTGAATGAGGGATGGGGACTGGAAAATCTATTTTTCAAATTAAATGGATTTCAAAAGAAAAAAAAATTCTGCTTGTTTCCATTCAGATCAATGGAAAATATTTTTCTTTTGGTTCTGTGGATTTTTATCTTTTTCTCTCTAATATTTTACCCAGATTTTATGTGTAGGCGTATCAACTTGATAGCCTGATGGTCCTATGATTGGGGGAGCAAAATGTGTAGTTGAAGCAGCGGCTGGAAAATGGTTCCATGAAGCTGGTGCTGGCGCTGGTGCATGGAATGCCGGAACAGCAGCAGCAGGGGGTGGTGATGCAATTAATTTATCAAAGGCTTGAAATGAAGGTTTAGATAATGGTGCCCATGATGATGTTGATGATACTGGTCCTTTTGGTGCTAATGCAGCCATTGCAGCAGCAGTTTCAGCTGTACGACGATCAACACCGATATCGCCTTCAGGTCGATAACCATGTTCATCAGCTGTATATTTAACCTATGATTGAAAATAAATTAAAATTAAATTCGTAGAACGTGAGGAAGAAGGAAAAAAATCAAAGTCAAACCTGTCGTAGATCACCATTAGCATCGGTATAGCTAAACGAACCGGTAATAACACCATTTTGACTACCTTGTTCCTGTCTGGTTTGACCATCGGCTGTTTGATAACCAAATGCATATGGTAGATAATGTATTGGTTGTTCCAATGGAAACGCTATTATCATAGCAAAACTATTGATGAACAATATTGTGACAAACTAAGTCAAAGAAACCGGAAAAACGAAACAAAAAATAAATTAAACACCAGAATATGATCACAAAATTCACGAACCGATTTCATTTTCGTTTTTTTGTTATTTATGATGATGACGATAAAACACATACACTACACGCAAACACTGACACTGTAAATAATGAAGTTTTGTACGAAACTTTTTTGATGAAAAATATGGACATTTTATAGCCATAGGCTTCTCACCTACAACAACATCATCCTGATGATCAATGGATTGTGGATATGAATGGGGGATATAATCGTTGTTTAGTTAGTTAATAAGGGGGATCAACCCTAAAAAGGCTTGTTTGGAAACGAAAACAAGTGAAAAACGAACGGAGCGACATTGAATTTGTTGTTGTTGATTTACTGAAAATATAACGAGATAAAGAGAAAAAAAAGTTAGATTTTAATAAATTTTTCAATGGATCCATTTTTGTTTACTATGGGAAAGTTGATGTGATGCATGTGTGTTGTATGTCAGTGAAATGGCCATTTTTTTCATTTGGTCTGTTTGTTTGTTCCATATTAAGCGAATAAACATAAAAATATGTGAATGATGATGAATCATTTTTTTTTCTTCAAAAATTCATTCAAAACATATAATTATTATTTTTTTTTTTTTTTTTTTTTTTGGAATAGAGCAAAACGATGGAAAATGAATTCGAATAATATAGGGGGCCGAAATAGACATAATAGAATCATTGCAGGTGAGAATAGTCGTATGATGATTGTTATGATTTCCATTTTATCAATTATTTTTTTCGTGGAAGAATTCGTACTTTTTATTGTTGTTGCTAAATGATGATATGATGATGACCATCATTGATATCATTATTTCAATGTTTTTAGGATAACAATGATTATCATCATCATTATGAATAAAATTAAAACCACCTTTTACCATTTTGATTATAATTTTGGCCAAAATAATCATAATCATATTTTTTTTCTCTGTTTTGTAAATTATGATTATTTTAATAATGATGATGATCATCATCATGATAATGAACATCCTTGTGGTATTTTTCTCATCTATAAAAAAACAATTATTTTCCTTCAACAAAAATGTTTTATTTTAAATCATCATCAAAAAAAAAAATCATCGATTTCACAACTTATCAACCAACCAACACACACACACACAAAACTCATTCGATTGACAAATATATTCGATCCACAATGATAATGATGATGATGATGATGATGATTCAATGACATTAATATCTCCGTTATTAATATAATCAAATATTCAAATATATGAAAAATGGTGGAATGTCTCAATAATAATTTTTTTTATTTCTTCTAAATTCTAATAAAAAAAAACAACAGTTTCAACAGAGAAATAAAAGAAAAGAATGGCCAAAAAAATAAATAAAGATGCCAAAAACAACAAAACAAAACAAAACAAAACACACACATATGATCATATATTGTCCTGTCAAATCAATCAATGTTTTTAGTGCCATCTAAACGAAAGAGACGAACGAACGAAAACAATTGTTTCCTTTTTCGGTGATTTTTGTTTTGTTTTTTTTGTTATTTTTATTTTTTCCCAATAATACACATTAGCCATTGTTGTTGTTGTTATTATGAATATATAATAATAATATTATTATTGTATTCAACAACAATGTAAACATCGACATGATATGATGATAATCGTCGGCCTTAACAATCAATAAATTAGATCCCATCCATTGATGATGTTAATCGCATCATCATCATCATTATTATCATTTGAATTTGAATAAATTATTAATTTGAATTTTTTTTTTTTTTATATTCTTAGGTCAATTTGAATATTATAACGGTCAATCATTCACACCCATCTACTATGATCATTGTCATTGCCAATTTTATTCACGCCCAATCAATTTACATATATCAAAGGATAATAACAGAAAAGCAACAAAGAAAAAATTGTGACGGATGAAAACATCCAACATAGCCAATCATCTTATCGGATCGAAAACTGTGTGTTCCAAGAAAATTCAATCAAATTCAAATGGGTGGGCTGATTAAATGGCTTTTTTCCGAGGCAAAATTTTCAACAAAAAAAATTTAAACACCTTTTATCGACAACAACAACAGAAAATTTCAAGAAAAAAAAACAGAAATTCTTTTTTTTCATTGTCAAAAAAGTATGATATATCATATAGTTGATCGAAGAAAATATTGAGAAAAAAAACTAAGATGGCCCGCCATATTTTCTCACAATAATCGAACAATGATTGATCGATTTTTTTCATTACTTTTTCATAACTGATTCAAACGGCAAAAATTCTCTTATAGATTTAGCTTCTGAATAGAATGAAATGGATGAATGACTGAGTTAGACCCGAAAAAAATGAAAAAAAAAACTTTATTATGTACCGCCAATAAACATTGAAACGAAACGTCATCATCGTCATATCATCATTATTAATGAAAGTGCAAACCTTATTCTTATATTGAAATAACCGAAGAATGAGAAAGAGAAAGAGAGAAAATAAAATCAAAACATTTCCGATCCATTTTTCAATGATGGATATATGATGATAAACTACTTACTATCTTCTTTTTTTTAAAAATCTTGTCATCTGTGTATGTGAATGTGAATGTATACATGTAAGTATAATGATGCGAAACGGATGTTTTCATCGTCATCAAATGTTTTTTTATTGATTCATTGATTGATGCATAATTCCACTTTGTGTGCGTGTGTGTGTTTGTGTTGGTTAAAAATTGTTCAGGTCACCAACAACTAACAAACGATTCTTCATTTTATTTATTATAAATTTTTTTCGGTTATTGAAAATTAAAATACGGAATCCATCTAAAATAATGATAACCGAACCGGTTTGTGTTTGTTTTTCGGATTCCGTTTGAAACATCGTTTCATTTTGTGCCAAAAACTTTTACAAAACAAACATGAAAATATTTAAAAAAAAACAATTTTATCAACTTAACGAGCCATGGAAAAAAATATTCAACATTCATGATTGCTTTGCCATTCATATTATAGTATTGGGTAAAGAATCTTCATGAATGAATGTTGATTTCAATGGCAAACAATAACATATTTCCATTCCATTACTCTCGATTATACATGTTATTAACATCTACATTTTGGACCAGAATAAAAATCTTTGAAGAAGAAGAAATTTCATTTTCAACTTGGCCATTATCATTATTATTATCGTTTGTTGATTTGACATCGAAAAACCTTTTTTCTTTTTTTTTGGTCATAATAAACAACAACAACAACTGTATAAAATGATGATTACTCGATGGTGGTAATCATCATCATGATCATCATTAGAATGAATGAATGAATAAGACAAGTAATTTGGGCAGACGGAAAAATTCAGGGTTACCTTTTTTTTCTTACTCGTTTCCCATTAGATTGTATGTACACCCACGCACATACATTGTTCCAGAATTTTACCAAAAAAAAAGAAAAAGAAAATTCTAACGGAAATTGACCAAGGGACTTGAGTGATAAATGAAAATAAAATGTTTTTGCAAAAAAATGACCATTCTATCAACAACAAACTTCTCATTCCCTATCTAAACAAATAAGAAATGCACAAAAATGAAATGGTCCATCATCATTATAAACAACATGAATGATAACGAAAAAAAAAAATTAATTTCAATTATGTTGATGATGATGACAAATTCAATTCCACCACACATACAACTATAACAATGGTATTTAATAATTTAACAATCTAAAATTATTTAGTGGCGAAAATTTCGGTCTTTCGGAATTTTTCGGGACAGTTCTGAAGATGTAAACATCTTTTTATTTATGGTTCGCCTTGACAATTTATTATCTAAGAATTTAATAATAACGGTTACTAATTACAAGTAATTCAATGAAACGAAAATTTTACCGTTTCGAGTTTTGAAATTCAGCCATCCAATATGGATGTTGTCATTTACAATTAACAATACTATCCATCCGGAAACACACATATTAAAATCCATAGATTTATTTGATTGTCGGTTGATGTTGGTTGACATTGATGGATTACCATACTTATGATTAGGATGATGATGATGATGTATCAATTATACAAATGATCCATTCACTTATTGATTCTAATGAATTTATTGTGGGTGATGATGATGGTTAATGACATCAAACATCATCATTGATAAGGAAATTAAATAATGACACACAAACGCCCACCTACATTAACCCTAGAAAGGTAACCTTATCGATATTGCGGGAAAGGTAACCTACGTAAATTTTACGTAGTTGATATGCCTAACTTATTTCCGCTATAAAAATTATTTATCTGATTATTTATGTTAAATTTTAACGTTTATTCATTGAATCAGACCTCTATTTTATATTAAAAGAAAAAAAATTCATTTTTCAAAAGTGGAAAGTTCCAAAATATCAAATCAAAGATATGGTGTAAATTATGAATTTTTTTTTATTGTCAATTTTGAAATTATCACAGCGTCAAGAAAAAATGAAAAATGATCCTGTAAATATGATTAATCAATCGATGATTGTGTATCGAAACATGATTGACAAATTTTTATCTGATATTCGCCACGGGGGCGGTGCCACAACGTTTACATCCGGTCGTTGTTAAACGCTTTTTGCAAGCATTTTAATTTTGAATAAAGTGAAAAACATAAACAAATGAACAGAAAAGACGTTTATTTCAAAAAATATTGCGACAAAAAACGTTTTTGACAAGTGAAAAGATAAAAAAGAAAAATTAAAATTATTTTTATTCATAAATGACGTTTTTTGGGAAAAATTTCCGAAACTATCGCTCTCAGCAAAATTTTCTAAGATTTTTCTATGCTGATTCAGGCAACTATACGTAAATTTTACGTACAAGCTTTTACGCCTGAGCTTATAGATAACAGATAAAAGGCAAAAACTGGGTCTTTTCTATTTCTAAAGGTGTAGAAATATATTCTTGAGGAATAGAAAGGGGTTCCAGCTGTCTTAGCATCGTGAGTGTTTTTTTGGAACATTTTGAAGTGCAAAAAGCATAAATTTTACGTAGGTTACCTTTCTAGGGTTAATGACAATTTGTTTTGATGCCCACCATAAATAGCAAATTTTAATTTTTCTCGTTCATTCGAATAATTTGATGACAAATCGTTGTTTTTCTTTTGGATTTTTTTAATTCCACTTTCTGTTGTTTAATTTGAATTTTCGATTCATTAACGATTGACAATGTTGTTTATGATTTAAATAATGATAATATATTTTTTTATTAGTTCTCTTTGAATATTTTCTATCGTCATTACCGTATTTTACACTATGATATATATATAATAAACTACGATGTTCCATAACATCGTAGTGATCGTATATCGATAATACGTTCGCAGTCATGATTGGGAATCGGACACTATTGAAATATTTGTGGATAAAATAAAGCTTTATTGATCAAGTATACGCAGATCATAGATCCCAGATACTCGATGGATAATGATAATTTTGGGATGGGTTTATATACTAGATTACAATCAATTAGAAACATTAATTAGGTTATAACATTCATTAAATCAAAGTCGAACATTCCATTTAAAATATTCAAACATCACAACTTTGATCATTAACATTCCAAAACAATCATGTTTTGGATTTCCAACGTTACATCCCCTCGCTCAAGAGGATGCTTCGGCCAATTCGGGTGTGGTTGGTATTTGGCTCTGTTGTCATAACAGCAATGATGTTTCTGGCAAATCGACAATAACCAGGTACTTTGGAAAGATATTGTACGGATAGGATTTGAACAGGTTTTGGTAATTTTGGGGACTTCGGTTGATTCAGCAATTTTTTGACGGACGACCCAGAGAAAATTACAACTTGAACAAATTTTATCATTTTTTTTCATTTTAGACAATCCTTTCAATACGAGTTGAATCTTCTTCATTACATTACAATAAATCATCAAATTTGTTTCATTTTTCACATAATTTTCATACAACTTTTTTGACCAAATTTTTCTCGATGCAATTAACGAAACATTTTCTTAAAAACCAAAATAAACAAAATAAAACAATATCACCAACAATCAGCTAGAGGTGCATTTTGCCCAACCTCTCTATATAGCCCGGATTGAAGGTGTCCATAAAAATATCACGAACAATCACCATAGATTGAACGTGTCCATGAAAAAATATCACGAACAATCACCATAGATTGAACGTGTCAATAAGAACGTTGAAAATTTTCGTAATTGCCATCAAGATCTTCAATAAAATCATTGCATCAATTTCACATTATTATAAAACAAAATTCTTCTTTTTTATAACTTCATGATTCATTTTTCTCGTCATATTGATTGCTTTTAAAAACTTTGATTTTGGTCGGTTTTCGACCCTCGTTGATATCACTCATTTTTTCTCTGGGTTCCGGTGGAACTATTGGACGAACAAATATCGACGATCTTCTTGAGTCAAACATTTAACCAATTTATGGATTTGAAATCCATTTCCCATTGGGAATCTTGCACAAATAACTTTGATCTTGCTGGCTTATAATAAACTACGATGTTCCATAACATCGTAATGATCGTATATCGATAATACGTTCGCAGTCATGGTTGAGGATTGGACACTATTGAAATATTTGTGGATAAAATAAAGCTTTATTGATCAAGTATACGCAGATCATAGATCCCAGATACTCGATGGATAATGATAATTTTGGGATGGGTTTATATACTAGATTACAATCAATTAGAAACATTAATTAGGTTATAACATTCATTAAATCAAAGTCGAACATTCCATTTAAAATATTCAAACATCACAACTTTGATCATTAACATTCCAAAACAATCATGTTTTGGATTTCCAACGTTACATATATAATAATTTTTAAATGATGATAATCCTCTTTGTGTAAATTTTTTATCATCATGACAGAATATAATTTTTTTTTTGTTTCAATATCAAATTTCAATCAAATCCGATTTTCGAAAAACGTTCTATTCGTTTTTCGACATTGACATTCGAAAAAAAATTTTGCAAAATAAAATCGCGATACAATCGATTCGAACTCTTTTTTTGTTTTGTTTTGTTCTTTTTCCTCTGATCATATATGATATTTCAATGTGATATGTTTCACCAATAATTCAAAAATGATTTCGTGATTATTCATGCTGTGAATATGATTATTTTGAATATACAATAATGATATGTTAAAAGACCATCATCATGAATGAGATGAATACAAACAATGTAACAACGGTAACAATAATATTGATCATTCGATCACGATAAGATTCGAAGGTGAATATTTGATAGATGAAATAGGTATCATGATGAACATTATCATTTTGTGAATAAATTTAATCCAATATTCATTGACATTTATTGAAATCATCATCAACCACCTACACACGACTTCCTACAAAATCTTAAAGTCTAATTATGAATTTCTTTCTCCCGCTGCTACTGAAAATGATACCGAAAAGTAAGTATGAAAAAGCACTAAATTAAACAGTCATTTATAGTCTAAATTTTCATTAGATCCATACCATCATCGACAGAATGGCCCATGGTCATCGTCATCATCATCAACGATAATGAACTTCATATCCATTTTTGGCTAATAATAGAGAAAAAAAATCCACAGGAAGCAAAATACATTTACAAAATGACGTATCATCGTCGAACTTTGAGAATTTCATTTTTTATTGCTAAAAAAAATTTGTCGCCTTTAATGGCGCTCACATAAAACTTGATTGTCAAATAACATGAAAATTTGTTCATTCTTTCTATTATTTAAATTCATTATCCATAATAATGATAATAATCCCTGTTGTTGTTGGATAATGTTTCGGAATCGAGTATATTCAATCATATTCAACATTGATGATGATGATGATGATGAAAACGATGAAAAGAAAAATAAATAAAATACAAAAATTGAAAAAAAATCAATTCAAGCGTGTTCGGATCCTTAACTCATCGTATAAAAACAAAATGTCGAAACAAACATTAACTGTTCGTATTGAAATTTCTCCCGAACGCAAAAAAAAATTGAATTTAAATTTAAATTTCTTTTTTTCTCCAGAATTTATCTAGCCAATGGCCACGAAAGATTTATATGGTCGATGAATTTTGTTTTCTTTAGAAATCTATTCTATCTTCAACAAACAAATATTCAACGATAAAAAAAATCAGTGGAATCATCATCATCATTGTTGTTGTTGTTGTTGTTTGATTTATAGATGTGTAGAATCGAATTCAAAATTATCGATGTGATTGACGAAACATTATGATCAATAATAATATGAATCTTGGCCCCCATACACGAATGTATTATAGAAAAATTAGCTTCATATACAAATCGACAACCATAAACAACAGCGATATAACAACGTCATACTTTTTTTATGAATGAATGAAATACTATGACAGCAAGAGATTTATTTCATTCATTCGAAAACAAAAAATTCTTATCACATGAACACAAAAATTGACAGATGAGATGAATTCAAGGATCATCATCATCATCATCACCCATTGACCATCATGATGATGATGATTATTCTAGAAAAATTGGGCGTTGAAATATGGCAACGTTTTTTTTTTTTTGGTTTGACGTCAAAACATTTTGGGTGTTTTTTTTCTTTGTTCCGTAACAAATATCTTTTTTTTTCAACCCACCACTCCCTCAATGATTGTGACAATTTTTTTTTACTTTGATTTTAATTTTTTTCGCTGTTATCGCCAATCATTGGGTTCATTTTGCTGTGTGTGTGTGTGTGTTAATTTCACCACCACCAACAACAACAGCAACAACGATGAATATAAAGCATAAATAGCCGAAATCAATCAAGAAATATATAAACCACCCGAAACGGAAAACTAAAATATATTTGGCCGGATAAATCATTTTTGTTGTTGTTTATCTCGAAAAAATATTATTATTATTATTATCATATTGTTGAATGAATTGAATTCATTCAACAACAACAACAACTCAACTAGATCATCTTCAATATATTCCTCTTTCCAATAACTGGAGTAGAGTGGTAGTATATCATCAACGTTTTTAATACGACTATTATTATATTCGATTTGAAATTATCATGATCATGATCATCATCATCAAAAAAAAAGAAAAAGAAAAATCAATAACTGATATGGATGAACAAAACAAAGAAATTTCATTCATTTTTACATCAACTTCGATAATGAAAAACAAAAAAAAACAAAATTTTAATCATTATGGAAAGAAAAAATGAAATCAAAATCTTCATTCAAATTTAATCATATCGAATCAATTCATCGTTCGAAATGATGCCCATCCTTTCGATGATGATGATGATGATTGATCCATGATAATTTTAGTGATTGATTTTTTAAACTCCCACGTTTCAAAATATATCCGTTATTATTATAAGCAAAAGAGTGCAAAAAAATGTCCATATTTGAATCGGATACGATTGATTCCATAATTTCGAAAATTATGTTATATCTCAATGAAATCCTTGTCATACTTGGATTAATTCTTTTGCTAATTTTATTGGTTCGAATATCACTTTGGTTATTACATTGTAATCTATGTAATAAATCAGCAGATCATTCGGATCCAGAATCCATTACCGTGGAATCCAGCAATAATGGTGTGAAATCAAAATCTTCGATCAATATTAAAGATGAGAATAATAAAAATAAGAAGAAATGTGAAAAAACAAAACGAAAACAAAAAGTGAATGAAGAAGAAACATCAGCATCGTCGCCACCACCACCTGTACCGAAACCAGATTTTCTTAAAGATGATGATCATTCTAATGAACAAGATTTGAATCATAAGAATGATTTACCATTAGAACCGGGTCAGCCTAAATTTCGTATTATATCCGAATCACAATTACCTGAACATGGTGATGGTCAAGATCCACAACATTCATTCGGAGATGAAAATGATCAACAAGCCGATATACAGGTAAGATGAGTGTTTTTTTGCTTCCAAAAAATTTTGATTTAATTATTTTTTATTCATTCTCCCGTGAAGAAATCAGTAATCCAAAGCGAAGAAATTTCTCCGGATTCGAGTGAAACAGCCAACAATTCCGAGACGGTGATTGATCCGATAGTATCGGGTGTGTCAACAAAATTGATAATTAATGATGATAAAGATGATGGAAAAATCACTGAGCAACAACAACAGGTAACTTTCGAATTTCGACTACCAAATTCTTATAGCGTATCATCTCATTAGGAACCACATACATATGCACAAATAATACGACGACAAAATATTAGTGAAAATGATAAATCCAGCAATCAACAACCGACAAATGATGATGGGAAAGAGACAAAAGAAGAAAATGTTGTCGTAACTATTGATGAAAACACATCGGGAACGGTGGTGGCAAATGCCGGACAACAATCAGATTCAAATATTGAAATGCCTGTATCTGAATATGCTGTCGTTGATATTGAAATGATAAAACCACTAGAACAGAAACAACAACAACAAGCCGAAAAGGTAGAAATCCTAAATGAAATTGAGAAGAAAATGATTGTGACCGAACAGATTGAAACGGTGGAAATGAATTCGAATTCACCGGAAAAAGAACCGTCAGAACCTACAGAAGTTGATGAACCATTAACGGCGTCTATCCAATCGAAACGATTAGAATCACTGCCCGATGTGGAATCCGAACCACAAATCGTTAAACGCGTTCCAGCACATCGTTGTATCTGTCCATATTGTTCATCGAATAATAATCGAACATCATCAACAACAAGTCAACGATCATCAATGATTGATAGTGAAGAACGTGAAGTACTAAAACGATTGGATGAGACATTGGAAGAAATGGAACGTCTCAATGAATCATTGGCTCCATTATCAAGGCAACAGAATAATGAAGAGGATTACACAGATGAATTGGAAGCAGAATTGTTAAAAATTGCTCAGGAAATTCATGAACGAAAACAGAACCAACAAAGAAAACAAGAACTGATCATTGAGAATAAAGACGATAATCAACAGCCACAACAACAACAGGAACGAACAAATAATGTTAATGAATCGGAAAAATCAAACAACGATTATCTATTACAATCATCGGATAATAATAATGTTCGTATTTTGGAACCTAAACAACTGGATGCATATTCTACATTGATCAGGAATCGAATACGTGTATATGAACCGGAACATACATACCACCCTAGAATTGTGCCGAATTGGATATCGATGAAATTAAGACAGAAATTAAATCTTTCACAAATGACATCTTCACCACAATTATCATCATTATCATTAGATAAATTAAATCGTCCACAACTTCCACCAAAACCGATGATAATTGAAACAATTTTGAAAGAACAGTCTTCATTATCAATGAAAGATAATGTACAAACTAAACAAAAACCCGAACATAATCGAATAATCGATCGTCGTCGTGCATTCGCTGACAATGATGATGATGATAATGATAATGATAATGATGACGATCAAGAGCCACAATGCGCCATCTATGCAAAAGTAATTGATCAAATTAAACAGAGAGGAAATTTAAATTATCATAACCATAATAATCATTATACTAATAATCATGATCATCAAAATCATCAACCATTATTGGTACAACAGGAACAATGAAAAAATAGAGAAAAAAAAAATTGTTGATGAATAGTGGAATCAATCAAATTGTTAATTGATTAATTTTTTTTATTGGTTAAAATTTTAAAATTAAATCGAGAAAAAAATTTACAACTTTAGAATTGCTCATTGAATTATTCATTGAAACCATTCAAAATCATGTGATTTATTCGAATGACGTTTGCGAATCTCTATATCATGAATCATCATCAACAATCGATGATGAGGATAATGACGCCTTTTACCTTGTTGTTGTACTTGATAAATATTTAAATAATTGTATAATTTGAATTTAATTTTTTTTTATTTCTAAAATTATCCTCTTTCAATCATTTTGTTGATCACGATAATAGTAATGGTGGTGGTGGTCTTGATCATTGATGCCTGTTTACGGTGGTGGTGGTGGTGATGGTGAGAAATACGCTTACGTAGATCTATCGGATGATTGGACCGGTTATCGTTTGTTGTTGTTGTTGTTGTTGATAATGACGAAGGCAAATGTAATTATATTTTATTATATTAAGATGATTGCAAGTTTTATTTATTTCTAAATTTGATTGATTCTTTCTATTTTTTTGGTCTAATCATTATCATCATTCAATAGAAAACGAACACGGTGACAACTTTACACAAACACACCTCGATTGATTGACAATTTGATTTGATTTTCTCGTATTTGAAACCTGAAAAACATTGAAAAATGAAAAACTCTGGCATGATCATGTTATCATTAACATTGACCTTGATCGTAGCAACATCTATCAATCCATTCATGGTCAATGGTCAACTTTATAAGAAAACAGATAAAGGTTTCGATATTGATATTGGGTAAGTTTTTGATTTGTTATTTTGATGATATATCATCCAGTAATCGTTTTTGTTTGTTTGATTAATTGAATAGACCAATATTTCAGATGAAATATGATCGAAATGAAGGTAAATTCATCGATCTAAGTGCAGTACTTGGCCTAGTAAAATTTGGTTATGATAAAAAACCTGGTGATAGCAAAGCTAAAATCGACGTCGATGTATTCGGTCGTAGTAATCGTGATAAATCGGCTAAACCAAATCCTGATTATCTTTATGATATCGATCCGGACGATTTAAAAGATGTGCCCAAAGATATCTGAATGAGAAGAATCGTCTCTAGAAAAACAACAAAAACAGAATTGAAATCAAACACTTTCTCAATCCCCTACATCAATGAATAATAATAATAATAATATAATCACTCTGTAATCAATACTACTACTGATAAACATTCTAATGAAATGAAAAACGAACGACAAAAAAACCCAAATCAAATGATTGATTATTATGTAATGGCGATTGATTGACAGATGCCATCTCGCTGTCATCATCATCATTTCAATATTGAAGTTATTAACGTCGTACCATTTGTGTCATGATTGTTGTTGTTGTCATAAAATTATCAAATATTTAAAAATTATACTCGATGCTCAATACTCGATTGCAATCATAAATACCATGAACAAAACAAACCAAAAATTGGCGAGAATAAAAATTGATGAAAGTGAAATTTTCAAGTTAAATTTAAATTGATTGAAATTTTTTAGATAAAAGGAAAACAATTTTTTTGTGAATATTTAAATATTTGGGAAATTCCAGTTTCATTCAAAGAATTCAAGTTTATCAATTTATTCATTCTTTTTTTAGAAACTTTATATCAATCGATCCAATCGTTTTTTGTTTCTGAAGTTGACCAAGTGATACCCAGACCATCATACCATAAGATCATGGATTGACATTTAAATATTCTTTCAATGTTGACCATCATCATTTTAGTATTGATTTTATCTTTTGAAGTGAAAATGAATTCTACACAAATCTTTCGTCAAACATCGGATAGTTTCCATGTTGATGTTGGGTAATTAATTATTTTTGTTCTTTTTTTTCTGGTAAATCTCTGATAAATCAAAATGCATACATGCATATAGTGATTTTGTCAATCTAAATTATAGCGGTAGCCGTAGTGGCCGCGGCCGTGATATCGATCTACGAGCATTAAGTGGCCTTGTCAATTCCGACCTAGAAAGACGTGAAATAGGACGACGATAAAACATTAATGTCAATGAATTCAGTTTTGGTGGAAATCGTGATCATTCGTAATATTTCGAACAAATTAAAAAAAAAAAAAAAAAAAAGAAGAAGAAATCATCAAATTTAAAATAGACAAAAATTATCAACAATCATTGATCGAATCCTTTTCATAAAAATATACTCAAAACAAAACAAAAAATCGATTCATTCAAAAAAGAAGAAAACATTCGGCCTAGATTTTGTTCAAAATTGCGAATGAAACATCTAAACAAATCGAAATCCAAAACTTGCAATTTGGATAAATAAATGTTTATGTTGATATAATTTTGGATATCAAAAAATAAAAATTGCGCGTTAGATTTTTTTTTTATTGATTGCAAACATTTAATGAAATAAAGATTTTAATCAATTTGCCAATAATGAGAACAAAAACAACAACAAATTTTTTTTCTGAAATCTCAATGCAATATTAGAGAAAGAAAAAACAGGAATGAAGCAAACCAAATTAAAAAAAACTACATGATGAATGAATTATGGAACCTAAGAATGATATTGCGTTTGAGATATGTATTGTTTGTAGATGTAAATGTGGATGTGGATTGTTTCTGGATCATCGCCATCATTAACACCAATCAATTCCTTCATGAATTTCATTCACATGTGAATAAATTTGCTGTAGATATTTGCATTGTGTGAATGGAATACAACGTTGTCGTTGTTGATCATCATGACCGTAACCACTGGGTAGATAACCTTGTGGACATTGATTTAATCGTATTGGACATTGGCCACTTTTTTCCATAATCATATGACGATAAAATCGTCGATATTGATCTTTATTCGAGAATTGTATATGAAACGGTTGATTTGCCACACAATTATACAATGAACCGGTTTGACAATGATCCATTTGTTCGGCTAACATTTGAATCAATTTTTTGCACGTATGAGCATTGCGGCAAATTTGTTGACAAGCCCAATTAATTGGTTCAGGTTCGGGTTCGGGTTCTGGTGCTGGCCTTGGTGGACGATAATGTGGATCAAAACGATAATCTTCAAGAAATGCCCATGATTGATTGATGAAAACGATTGCTGTAAACAACAAAACAATCGATATGATCAGATTTGGATGCTGACGATTCATGATTGCACAAGATTCCAAAAAACAAATTCGTTTTAAACAAGAACAATGAGACAAACAAAAAAAAACCAAAGTAATTAATCAATCAATGAATTTGTTGATGACAAAATTGCAACTGATTTGAAATAATTTTTTGTTATTGGTCGAGGATCCGAATTTACTATTTTAATTTGAGCGTTGAACATCATATATCATCGATGCGATCGATTGCGTCCACTAAACAAAATAAACCATTAATAAATTTGATTTATAATATTTGGCCAACAAAATAAATGCGTATATGCAATTTGGTTTTTGATTCGCCTCATTTTCACGGCCAATTTACAATTCGATTGATTCCATTCGACGATGACGATTGTCCACATAATCATCACAAAGTTGATGATGGTGATAAAACCATAATCACAGAAAACGTAATAGACAAACCGAAAAAAAATATGAAAGCGAAAATGTTTTGATTGATTGAAATGAATCATAATTGATTATTATAATCACAATCATAATATTTGAGATAAATAATAAAATGAATTTAAGCCTGAAATCGGCATTTTTTTTTTTTTTTTTGTTAAATTTTTCTGATGAATTCCATTATCATCTTCATCATCAATTTATCTTGATCGATTGATTAAAATTATGAACAATTATATTATATTGCAATAAATAATTATCGAAAAAAAAATTCGTATCCGATTTCAATTTCATTCATTCATTCATTCATTTCACATCTACTGTGTTTGTTTTCGATTTTTCATCATTCGATTTGATTAAAATTTATAAACACACATATATATTACAGCTATCGTGTGGATATTTTTCCTGAGAATGAAAACAAAATTTAGACTTTATTGTTACGATTTTTTGGATTTGAAATTATCATTTAAAAAAAATTTATAAATTATAAATATTTCATGAATTTTCTACATTCGATTTTCAAAAAGGTTAGGCATTTGATTTGGATTCCAATTTCGTAGATGATAATGATCGAAAATAGCCGATAACTAATACAATCGATATTAATGTATAAAGAATGACCGGTGCTGTAAGCCATGAATTATTCAAAGCTAAAAATGAATGTAACCAATTCAATGATTTAATCAATGTAGGCCATGAACGATCACGACTAGCAATGTTTAATGCTGGTGCCATTTGTTTTTTTAATTCAACTAATTTTAATGCACTTTCCAATGTTTCTTTTGTTACCATTGGTAGATAGGCATGACGATTAGTTATTTTACGCCACCATGAACGATCTTTCCATGAATCTGAGAAACAGAAATTGAAAAAACAAATATGATAAATCAAAATTGTTAATTTCAAATTTGTCAATTATCATACCCGTATATTTATAAAGATAACGACTAATACGCAAAAACTTTGGAGGTTTATCAAACGGTAATCTTGTCGTATCTAATAGATTGAGTACATCCGATTCGCCAGTCAATATTCGATAACAAAGATTTAAAAGCCATGGATTATTCTGATAGCTATCCAATGCTGCAAACCACATTTGCCAATCTAATCTTGGTTGATGTGGTGCTATGTTTCATGAGAGCAGATTAGAAAAAAAATTGTTAATTGAAAACAAACAACATATGGTTATATGATTAGCACGTATAAACATCTTACCTAGAAACGTAGGTGCCCGATATAAATCAACAGGTTTATAACGGAAATAATATGGACGCCAATCACCGACACTGCCATCGGCTGCATTTGCATTATTCGATCCTTCAATAATCAATTCAGGACGACCACCATCACCGGTCATTGTACGAAATAAACCATATGATGATACAAGATGATAATGTTGAGCATTATGATACCAATGGCGAATTTCTATTGGAACTGACGATTTCATATGATAACCAGTTGTATCCAATTCGGCCAACGGTACGATGGATATCGCCAATATGGCAGCACAAATAATAATATAGAACATTGTCATCATCGAATGAATGATACGTCCAATGATTGATCCATATGAAAAACATTTATACAATGCAATCGATGCCATACATATGAATGATATGATTCCCAATACGATCGTGGCGGTCACCATTTGTATGACAAACAAATTGAATTGATCATAGGTAAAATTGACTTTGGTTGTTGGTCCGAGGAGTAGATCATTCCATCGAAACGTAACATCAAAATAATAGACTGTATAATAGGCTAAAATTCCGATGATTGCACCGAATAAACAGATTTCCATTGAATTTTTCCCCATAGTTGATTTCGATTGAATACCATGTTGTTGTCGACTTTGTCTAAACATATCATCATCCAGTAATGTCAAACATAATACCATGGTTAACAAATTAAAAAAGTTATAATTCCCACTTAAAGCGATAGCAATCTGTAGGAAAATCTGTGTGTAGAATGAGAATAATTTCAATGTTCGAAACGGTGTGAAGAACATGAATGGAACGGCAATTTCGATGACAAAATGTATGATAACAGCTAAATGAAGCCAATTCTGTGGTATATGATGAAAATACCAGGCTAATGATGTCGGCAACGGTTGAGATTCAAAATGTACATCTAATGATCGTAATGACCACCATAACGGGCAGCGCGCGCTGAACTTTACGATACCGGATGATAGCATAAATTTGAATAAAAGCCACTTGACAGTCCAAATCACCAATGGAGGATATGGACGAAAACGATTCCAAAATGAACGACTTCCATGTTGTGTACAACGTATCGAAACCAATACTGTTAATGCACCGCATTCCAATAAAAACGCATCCCATTGAAAGTAGAGAAATGTTTGACCAACCTTTTTTGAAAATTATCATTTAGTACAATTAACAAATTACAAAGAAAAAAATTTCACAGGAGAAAAAACTTACATTGACACACGAATAATAGAGTACAAATAGCAATAGATAAATGATGGGCGTACGAAATGAATTCGATAATAGCTGAATGAATGAAATCAATGATCCCGCTAGGCTAATCAATTCTAGCGATGATGTCAATGAAAGGCCTTGAGTAGACGCCAAATACCATACTAATGATGGTGCCGCACGATTAATCGAATCCAATGATACAGTTTCATTCGGATCAACATATTTTACGGCAAAATATCGCAATGGCAATACACCTTTATTACCGTAAAGGCCACGAACTTGCATGTAGAACGAGACGAATGCAAACATATAAATTGCTGATATTGACCAAATGAAATAATTCTGTATGGGAGAAATCCATTCATCATGATAATCAATCTTTATGTCGTCTATTTCGCCAGAAATGTCACATTTTTCGATTGTAGAGCTAGATGAATTCGATTTGAATTCACTTTTTGGTGATCGATTTTTAGGTGAATTTTTCACTCTAATTTGTGCAACATTATGACCATTGGATGATTCATCATCTTCACTTATCAAATTTTCTTTCATCGGAGAATTTATTGTTGATCCCAAATCACCACCATCACTGGTTACTTTTTTCTTTTTTTTCTTCGATTTTTGATCATCATTATTTTTTGTTACTGGACTTTTAACAGCCACTGGTATTTTTGATTTAGCCATCGTTGTCTTTCTTAAATCGATGAGTATCAATAAAAAAAATTGAATCAAGCAGCTCGATCAATAACCATTAAGAATGAATGGCTTCAAAATTGGAATCAAATTAAAATCAATCAAAAATTGCCAAATAAGCCGGTTGTCTTTATATTTTCATCCATCAATCTCGATGCATGATTTGGATGAAAGAAAAGCCCAAACTGGTTTATTTTTTCACTATTACCGAAAAGTTTACTAATAATGGAATGCAAATTTATTTCCGAAAAGTATTCCAAAGAAAAATTTTAAAAATTTTAATTGAAAAATATTTCATGATATGATAAAAATAAATTTTTCTTTTTAAAATAGATCAATTTCGAAATTGTTTGATTGTGTATTGATGATCACAAGTCAATCCTGGTATCATTATATTCAATGATTGTTTCCGATTATGAATTGATTGTTGAATTTTTTCCGTTCGTCGTCGAAGATTGAAATCTTTACGTTGATAATAAAGCAATGCAAATGCAATCGAGTGATAGATGATTATGTTGATTATGATACGTAATATACATTCATAATAATATTCATCATGTTTTATGCCCAATTTATATAGAATGACTTGAATTTCACGTGGACCACAACGACCAAAACCATATTGTAACATAACGGATGCTTCGGTAAGATAACGAATCGGATTAAATCGTATAAATGGTTGATAAATTGTTAATGATTTCGAATATGGCGACAATATGACCATTATCGATATGAGAAATAAACTTGGCAATGATATACATAGATAGGTAAGATTGAAACCGAAAAGAATTCCACAAATATAACCAAGACCTTGTGATGCAATAGCCGCCAATATACAAACAAACATTAATGAATAAAACATCCCTGGTCGTATTGGATCATAGATATCTGTGATATAGTAATGCAGGAATACAATGGGTAAAATGATGATCACATGCGATGACCAACGAACCAGATAAACAATGCCCGTACTATACCAACCTAATAAAATAATTAAAAGATTAATTATTAGAATCTGATTGATTTGATGCATTATACTTACCATTACGATGTTCATTGATCATATATTTCAATTCAAAATAATACAATAATGCACTAATACTGATTGGATAGAAAATCATTACACTATAAATGTAATAACTATAACGATAATTTAAAATTAATTCCACTTTTTCCTCTTTCGAACGATTACATGTTTCAATGAAATCCTCATCAAAACTAATACAACCATCACGTTCAGCAATTTTGGGATTCAATAGTAAACGATAATTGAGACTAACTACCAAAGAAACTGCATAGAAAAACAATAATACTGTCCATAGATAATTACGATAAAAATGATATTGTCGTTGAAGGAGGATACCAATGGAATTTAATGAAAAACGCGTACGATTTACTGATAATCCCTCCGGAACCAATTGTGTATTATCGAATAATGTTTTTTCATCATTAAGAATTGCTTCATTGGTCGCTTGTACCAAACGTTTAACTTGTTGATCACGATGATTTAGACAAGAATATCGCATCATTTCTTCAATGGGAAAATCAACAGAAGAAGCTCCAACTAATCGAACATGTTGATGAATCCGATCAGGTGTCCCAGAATAGATACATACACCACCACGTGCAAGTAAATAAACGTGATCAAACATCATCAATATATCGGTATTTGGTTGATGAATAGCAACGACAAGTGTTATATTATGACGATGACTCATACGCCTTAAACACGATACAAGTATTTCAGCTGAATTTGAATCCAAACCACTTGTTGGTTCATCAATACAGATAAAATTTGGCATTCTTTTAGAGGTTAATTCCAATGCTAATGCAATACGTTTACGTTCACCACCCGAACATTTTGTTACTAATGTATTGGCTATATAAACAATGTCCAATTCATTTAACATTGTCATTGCCATTTTTTCATGATCAACATTAGTATCATTAATATTTTTCAATCGAGATGAATATATTAGACTTTGTTTAGCTGTTAATCCTGGCAAAAGATGACCGGAAATCTCTTGTGTTATGAAACAAGTTCGTATTGGTGTATATTTACTAAGATAAAATTGGCTTTCCAAACTTAAACGTGTTTTATTCTGGCCATTCAATATACGTAATAAGGATGTCTTACCAGCACCCGATGTACCCATCAATGCATTCAATGTACCGAAACGAAATTGTCCATTAAGATTTCTTAAAATTAATTCTGATGAATCTGGATGGAAGGTTTTAATAGATCGTATTCCATATAGAGAATCTGTTGTAAATAAACTTAATGAACGCCAACCAATAATGAATTTATCTTGACAGAATTTTTCAAATTCAATTTCTTTTTTCGTTTTTATTCGTTGTTGATTATTGTTATTATTCACATCAATTATGGTATGTGATTTTGAATAATTATGTCTGGATTCGGCATCGAAATCAATTGGTTCAATATGATTCAAATTATATGAACGTTTAAATGAATGATTAAATATGGTCCATTGTTGAAATCTTATAATAAAACCAATCATTGTCATTAAACGAATTACGATAGAAATAACCAATAATTGTATGACATCGGTAAATATTTGTTCCGGTTGAACATTATAATCGAGTAGAACGGTTGAAATTTCTGTGGACGGATCACAACGATCAAGATCATAGAATGAATATAATAGGCCATGTGTAATAAATTTGCTTGCAAACAATTGTGCCAACATTCGAGTGAATGGTAGATAAAGATAATCAGCCATAAACATATAACCATCATAAGAATTGATTATAAAATAAATCGATATGCTTCCTATAATAGATGCTTCAATTGGTCCATTATTAATCACACAACTAATCCCATGTCCAAGTGATTGTATATAGAATGCAAAAAGACAGAAAAACAATGTAAAATGACCAAAACGATTCCAATTAAAATGACCATTATCAACATAATTATGATCGACAAGACAATAAACCATCGTAATTGTCAACAAGGTTAGTATAGCCAATTCTAATAACCGTATCAATGTAATTGAACAATAAAACACACCAATACTATACCAGCCTATGAATAATACACAAGAAAAAAGATTGATTCGTATAAATCAATTAATTAATTTTACTTTACCATTACGATGTTCATTATTGATGACTTTGATTAATTCACCAAATGCAATTGAACTAAGTGAAATCAATATATAACCGAAAAATGCAATGGCAAAACTTTGATAATGCATATATGAATCGATCAAAAAATCATCATTAACTCGTTGTGGACATGTACGATTCAGCCAGATTTGATCATGATCAAAAATTGATGTACATACATTTGGTTCAACCATTTTCGGATCAAACATTGTTGAATGAATATAGAATAGAGTGATGAATATTAGGATTGTACAGATGCGAGCCTTAATTTGTTTGATAAAAATTAGATAAAACATTCGAATCAATTGGTATATGAAATCTTTGAAATTGAATGATTTATATTGAATTGAAAGGCCATTATCGAGAAATTGCATACGATCGATCCATGGTTGTAGTAATTCATTTTCGTTTTTCAAACATTTCGTAGCTAATTTACGTACATTATCATCATCGATACCTTTACAAGCGATGCGCATATATTCTTCAATCGGTGATCGGTGATTATTATTGTCATCTATTTCATCATCATTATTCTTGTCCAATTGTTTACGAAGATTTGAACGTAATAATTTTGGTGCACCAGAATAGATACATACACCATCACGTGCAAGAATGTAGATTTTATCGAATAAATTCATCATATCCGAATTTGGTGCATGAATGGTTGCAAGAATTGTTAATCGATACTGATTTTGATGATTATCGACAAGATTACGAAGACAACGCATCATAAGTAATGCAGCATGGCTATCTAAACCGGTAGTAGGTTCATCGACAAACAAAAATGATGGCATACGAATGGACATTAATTCCTGTGCAATGGCAATACGTTTCTGTTCACCACCACTACAATGATCAAAACGACGATTAAGAATAGATTTATCCAGAAGAAGATTCACAAGAATCTTTCCAATATGTTCATTTATTAATGTTTGTTGTCGTGATGATGATGAATTTTTAAGACGAAATGCATATCGTAAAATTTCACCAACAGTCATAATACCGATAATTGTTTCATGAACATGTTGTTCAACGAATCGTATGATTGGCCTTTCATTGACATATTGTCGATTCAGATATAATTCAGTATTGATGCTAAGACCAGATCTTAGTGTACCATTCAAACAATTCAATAATGTACTTTTACCAGCACCACTAGGACCGAGAAAACCATTTAATGTATTGAATAAAAGATGGCCATTCAAACGTTTTAAAATCACTTTTCCGGTGAAGATATTTTTTAAACCAAATGGATAAGCTTCATAATGAAGATTTCTCCATGCAATAGATACCATATTTTCTGTTTCTTTTTCGTCGGATACATTCTTATCATTAGGGCCAATTTCAATCGATTTAATCATCTTTTTAAAAATGAAATTGAATTCAAAAAATAACAACAACAACAACAACAACAAAAATTGAATATCCTATGCACCGACAAACACAAACAACAAACTAAACAGTTGATAAAATTAATGTGTTATATTTCAAACCAGAGGAAAAAAACCAATAAATGGCCAAAATTGAAAAGAAAAATTAAATTTATATAATAAATTTTTTTTTCTGATCGCACCCTTGTTCACATCATGACTATATCACATTGATAAAATCGTTATGAATGATGATAATATGTGCATAAATTTCTTACGAATTAACTTGATAAATCAAAACAATGATGAAATATATTTTAAAAAAAAAATAGAAAGAGGTGTTGTTATTATTGTCCTTGTACGATATGCAGAACAAGAAACACAGATGCAAATAAAAATGAACATGTGTATTCAATAAATTCCAAAAAGATTTATGACAATTTTATAATAAAAAAAATTCAAATGAATAAATAAATTTACGATGAAACATTGGGTGATGGGAACGGAAGAGTGAATTCAGCAAACCGCCAAGAGAACAGACAAAAATAAAATTTATATAAATTTTTCTAATTGATTCCATAGATAATGATTAACGAATTCTCCAGAAACAAATATGATAATTTCTCTCTCTCTCTCTCTCTCTCTCTCTCTCTCTCTCTCTCTCTCTCTCTCTCTCTCTCTCTCTCTCTCTCTCTCTCTCTCTCTCTCTCTCTCTCTCTCTCTCTCTCTCTCTCTCTCTCTCTCTCTCTCTCTCTCTCTCTCTCTCTCTCTCTCTCTCTCTCTCTCTCTCTCTCTCTCTCTCTCTCTCTCTCTCTCTCTCTCTCTCTCTCTCTCTCTCTCTCTCTCTCTCTCTCTCTCTCTCTCTCTCTCTCTCTCTCTCTCTCTCTCTCTCTCTCTTTATTTTTCAATCAAACATATCATTTAATCATAGATTTATTTATATGGAAAAATTACCATCATTATTAATTGTCAACTTTTTTTCTGTTGTTCGTACGGTTTTCCATCGATTGCATATTTGTGATTTGGAAAAAACTTTAATGGAAAAATTGTTATTACTAATCGAATAGCAGTTTTTTTAAAAAATTATAATTACAATATATATAATCATTAAGGAGAAAAAAAATTACAATTTATTGTTCGATGGCAATTTACATCAAACAACGCAAACACAGACAGGATGCAACCAGTGAAAGACCTATGGTTTGACATAATAAATTATCAAACAAAATGAAAAATTGTTCGCTAATGTGTCATCATTGGCCAATATCATTTCGAATTTCAATACAACGATAATGACTATAATCATAATGACCATGATGATCATCGTCATAGTTTAAATCCAAATTGAAAAGGTGATTTTATTATCTTGTAATGTCTTCTTCAAATACATTTACAACCACAATCTGTTTTTTATCTTTGAATCTAAAAAATTAACATTGCCAAAGCTGCTGATTTGACATACATACAAAATACACTTAACAGTTACAAGTGTTTCCAATCAGAATGTCATATGTTTTAAGTATTAATTAATAATAATCAAGGGCATCAAAAATATTTTAAACATAAAAAGGAACAAAAGAGAATCAAAAAAGAAAAATTTAATCATCTTCAGAAAAATTTTTCAAAAAAAAGGAAATTTTTTTCATGGTTAAAGGATGAACGGGAATTTTTTTTTGCAGTAATATGTAGGAAATAGAATGAAAAAAGTACGACCTTCTAGCAGAAAGTTGTTTCGTGATTCAAAGATGATGATAATGATCTAATGCTATCTATCTATCTATCTAAATTAGAGCTAAAAAAAATTTGATTAGTAATTGTGTGGGATATGAAATCATAGGATTGTTATCAATGTATGTGTGCGAAAAGTTCATGTTATCATGTGGATTGTGTACGGAAGGGATTGATCGATATAAAGATTGAAATACAAAATTAGAAAAAAATGTTGTTTTGAGATTAATAGGACGTTGGCATCTTATATTAAATCCTTATCCATCATCTGATGATAATGATCTATATGTGTGTGATTAAACTATGAAAATGACAAATATGATGATGGTGTGTGAATGTTTGTTTTGGTGACAATGATAATGGTTGATGATCATAATTTTCAATCACAACACACATACACGATCAATGGCGGTGATACTTTTTAAAGATGGTCATCTGTTATGAAAAAAAACAAAAAGAAAACAATTAATTTAGATTATGAACAATTATGAATTTTAAGAAATTCATTTATATCAGATAGATAGAATTGGAAATGTAAACAAAGCAATAATTTTTTTAAGAAAAAATGGGATAAATTATTAAAATCAATCAAATAGGAAAAGAGATTGGAAATTAAAAAAAATGCGTGAATTTTTCCATGAAAGAAAAATACCTCAATCAATAAAAGAAAATTTGAATTGAGAGACAGGGCAAACGAAAAAAATTGTAATAATCAAAATGAAAAGAACATCCACAAATTCGAATATATTTGATTGACATTTTGTATATTTTTTTTTGAATGGTTAAATGATTTTTTTTTGTTTTGTTTTGATTTCTTTTCAATACACACCATAACGATCGGATAACGGCGATTTCGGTATTGGTGAACGTGATCGTGATCTTGATGGTGGTGTTCGTGGCCTGCCACGAACAATCGGTGATGGTGAACGGCTTCGACTTCTATTTGAAAAATTGTTGTCGGTCGATGAATGTGGTTTGATTTTTGAAAATCGATGATAATTAATAAGATGAAAGAAGATAAAATAAGATGATTATTATTAGAATAAATATGATTATCATTTTAAAAACAAAAGCAATAAATTTGCTTTTTTCTATAATAAACAATATCACACCCACACATAGAGTCACACACACTTACAGAAACGAAGTTAAGTCAACAATAAAAAAAAATGGCTGGCTTGAAGACAAGCTGGAAAATAATGGCTGATGACCATAGATGAATGAATGAATAAATGATAATATTATCAGACCTAACAAGCTGAGCTGAGATGATTATATATATTTTTTCTACAAGGTTGATTGATGTAAACAATTTCAGGGATGAAAAAAATGACCTATCCCCTCTTATCCTATTTTAGATGACCAAAAAAAAAGTAACCTAACCAACTAAAATAGATGGGCTGTCTTGCTCAGTTGAGGGTCGACTGATGCTGATTGCCGTCGACAGTTGACAGGGAGAGAGATGAAATGAATGAAACCCAATGTGAATATTAAATTCAAAAAAAAAAAAAAAAAAAAATAATGGTGGTGTGTATGTTGGTTGAAATTTTATTAAATTATTTAAAAAATAATACTTCTTAAAAATATGGATTCTCAAGAAGAAATGGTTGCTTTTAAGATGAGCTGAGCTGCTTTTTAGTTGTTGTTGTTGCTGTATTGTTGAATTTCTTTTCTCTAAAAAAAAATCTTTAAATTTTTATTTCTAGCTGATGCAGCAGATGTTGATCAAAAAGGGATGATGAGGATGATGAAATAATCTCGAAAAAAAAACTGTGATGATTTCAATGATGATGATGATGATGTAATTTTTATAATGATGAATAATTTGTTTTTTTATATATATTTGAAATGAATCAAAAGCGTTTGTTGACCATTTGAAAATTGTTGTCTTTTTTCATTCTGTTGAATAATTGTCGCTTTAACTGTTGTGGTCGCTGTTTTTTTTTTTTTTTTTTTTTGATCAAAGGTTGTATTGTGTGTTGGATCTGTAAAATCTGATCATCATCATTTACCATCATCACCACAGCAAACATTTCCATCATCATCATGAATGAATTTATTTTTCATTATCATCATTTTTGCATTTTTTGTTTAAATATATAAAGATCGCAAAGCCAAATCTTGGACTTGGGTTTATTATTCGTTTCTCATTTAAAATTCCAAATTTCAAAGGAATATCGAGAAAGATATTATGAATATAAAAAAAATCAGAAAATTAGCTCAAACATCATTATCAGTATTCATCATATATAATCATAATATAAATGGATACACACCACCCGTTATGTTGATTATTTTATAGATCAAATTCCGGCTCAAAATCATCGAAAGAAGAGCCATTACCATAATCATCATGATCATTCATGAATCAATCAAAAATTTGATCGATTGTGGTAAAAATTTTTTTTACCAGAACAAAGATATAATGATTATCATTGTTGAATGGTAATAATTTTTCATCAAATGAAATGAACAAAATACTTACCGTGAATAACCACGGCCACGATGAGCATATCGATCATCATAACGGCCACCAGCTGGACCATTAGGTGGTGGACCACGATCAGGCATACCACGTCCATATGGATCACCACGTGGTCGTCTTGGTGATCCATCACGTGGACCACCAGGCCCACCATAACCCCCTCCACGTGGACCACCAGGTCCATCACGCATACGAAAACCACGTTTTTCATGACGTGATTTACCAGTTGACAATTCTACACGTACACGGCGATTACAGATCAATCTGGAATTTATTTATTTTTTTGGGAGAAATCAAAATTGATTAATTAATTTAAGGTTTTCATAAGTTATCAAAAATATCGCTTACTTTCCATCCAAAGCACGGACAGCATCACGTGCATCACGAGCATCCTGAAACATGACGAATGCAAAACCCGGTGGATTACGGGCAACCCAAACTTCACGTAATGGGCCATAATAACCGAATGCATCTTCAAGTTCATGTCTATTACCGCTGTTACCTAATTCACCAACATATACTTTACAATCCAATGGAACGGATTCACGTCGTCCCATCATTTTTTTTCTGTTTTATTTGTTAATCAGATTAACGAAAAAAAATCGATTAAATGATGATGATGTTTTTGTTTTATTTTTGTCGATTTTCAATCCTTGAAAAAAAATGAAATTGAAATGTGGAAAATTCAAAATATTTTAATGGATTAACACAACATTCAACGAGTCGAATGACATGAGCACGAACGTAACGAACACAAACAATGAAATAAAGAAACGAACAAAAGCTTTTCGTGAGCACAACACACACACACACATCTCGGTGAAAAATGTCAGCGCCACCTTGTTTTTCGGCTCAAATTAGAAATATCCAGTTTATATAGTGTAAGTAACTGTAAAGTTCGATATATTCGAATTGAAACTGGATTTGATGATATTTTCTTTGGAACAGAAAATTTTTGTTTTGATCACCAAACATGCAAACCATACGAACATCGTTACAATGTCGTTCATCATCACTAGATATTCGTCAAGATAATCTTTGTCAACTTGAACAAGAATTCAATCAATATGATCGAAATTTGACCACAATCACTCAACAAAATCGATTGTCAATATTGTCGGTATGTATTGAATTTTTAACAAAAAAAAAAATTAATTCATTTTCTATTACTGATTAAATAGATGTTGAAAACTTTGAAAATATTTTTGGATCGATTGGATAATGTTAAATTACGATTACAACAATTACGGCAACGATTAATTCAATGTCAATCGTGTTTTCAATTTGATAATGATCACATTAGCCAATTATGGATCAAACTTATCGAAGAACGTTCCTTATTACATCTTTTAAATGAATGAACAATTTTGTTACAATTATTCGAATTCGAAAATGTTTTTTGTTTCAATAATAATAATGAGATTGTTTTTTAATATAAATATATGATACACGTATTTTATTAAAGAATCATCATGATTCAATCAAAATTCATCAACACCAAATATTTTAATCAATTTTTCACGTACAATTGGCACTAATTGATCATACCATTTCCATGCTGTTCGATCATTTACAGTACACTCATGAAGAATTTGTTCAATTGTTTTATTCATCATACACGTTTTTTCTGGTTGTCGATTTGGCCGATAATGCATTAACATTGATTCATTGTGATCATCCAATTGTATACCATTACAATTATGATGAAAACCGGTACGATTCAAACAACGAATTGGAAAATGTGTATGCAATGCATAAACTTTATCTGTACGATGAAAACATTTAGTATTTGTACCATCTTGAAATGGTTGTGCACGATATGTATGACGCATTAGATGCATATATGATGGTATTGTTTCACCATTCCGTTCATTTTCTTCATACATTTCATAAACATAAGAATGTTTATGTGAATAGAATGCATATTGTTGTTGCTGTTGATCGGACGAAATTCGATGCTCAATCTGATTGAATACATCATACCAATTTTTTAATTGTTTTTGTGGCATCAATATTTCATCAACATCGAATAATCCAATATATTTATGACGATACATATTACGATAGAAACATTCATTTTGTTCCAACATTTCTTGTGGCCAAAATTTTCCACCCAATTGTTCATAATAATATTGATACATTGACTCAATGTTTGGTTGCCAACCCGGAAATGTTAATCGTCGCCATTCGATTAGACCCTTGGTAAAATATCGATGGTGGTTGAATTAAAAATTTTGAAAAAAAAAATTATTTTTTTACCTCATAAGCATAATGTCGCAAAACACGATAAACCGATTCGGTTGCATCATAAACATAGAAATAGATTTTCGATGCACCCAACAATCGTATCATTTCTAGCCATTCGACTAATCGTACACTAAAATCATATGTTCGATAACGAAATGCATGTACACAAACACCGATTGTGAAATTTTGATTTTGTCGTCGATTTTCATCATTGATTATTAGATCACTTGTATAATTTCGATGAATAACACGTACAACATTTTCAATTGACGATGATTCAACATCATCACAGCTGGACATAGGTTTCGATGTTAATGTTATGGCACGTGGAACTATCATTTTTAATGAATCTGGTATTTGACAAGTAATAATTTGTGGTCCATAAACAGTAGGTTTAACACCAAAATCCCAATATTCAGGCCAAATTGTATACACTTCGGTTATATTACCAATAACTGGTGCCTTTTGATCATCGAACCAAAGTAAACACCTGTAACATTTTTATCAAAATTAAATTTTTTTTTTTAAATTTAACTAAATCCACAAATGAAAATTCACTCACCCAAATTTCAATCTTTCAACAACAACCTGTTGATCACATGCAGTGAGAATTTTCACTTCCGATCGTCCTGATCGATTATCATAATATGCATTGTAAATGTATATTATAAATGGTTCACGTGCTTCCAATGGATTTGAAGTTGTTATATTCGAATCGATGGTAGGTGATAAAATTGTTTGCCAATAACTATTCATCTGTTTAATTTGATGTATAGGTTTCAATGAAATATTATCACAGTATTTAACTAGTGGTAATTTTCGATTTGACCATCGTTTTTGGCCATCTTGTTGCCATTCATATGTATACAAAGCAGCCAAATTGGATGCCGATTCAATCAATGATAATGTTGTCATTTTATCCAATGCTTTTCGTTCGGGTAGAATCCGTTTGAGAATCATATCTATTTTATAATCTTCATCATCATCATCTTTAGAATCTTTATCCATTTCAGTATTATTGTTAATTTTTTCATCATTTTTATGAATAAATTCTTTATCATTATTGAATGGAATTTTAATTGAAAAATTAAATCGTTTCATAAAGTAATTGTCATCATTATTCAACACAAGAATATAAGATTCGAATATAATGATGAATAAAAATATAAATAGAAAAAATTTCGTTGGATTCATTATGATTTTCCAAAAGGATAATGTAAAACATTGTGATATATAACAGAATGTTGATAATGATGGCGGATGTTTTCGATCCATACCATCAACGTCAAAGATAATATCATCAACATCACCACCATCAATATCATCATTAGAATTATTTAATAATTTAGAATATTCTACATTTATGGATTGTTTCATATTTTTTGTTGTTGTTGTTGCAAATGAATACAAAGAAAAAAAAATAATGGAACAAATCAATGCGAGGTAGTGCTATGTAGACATCTTTTGTTGATTAATGTTGTAGTTTTAATGTACAATCATCAATGATGATGATGATGATCAATTGATAAAGAAAATCTCAATAACTAATAGGTTTTTTTTTTCGTTGTAATCCAAAATCCAGGTATATTTTTGATACAAATTAATTATTTTGCACATGGCAATTTTGACAGAAACATTACGAAAAAAAACAAACCGGATCAATTCAATATTGTTGATAATGGCCATAGTTACCAATTATCATTATCATCATCATTATTATTATTGGTAAAACAATGGTGATAGGGCCATAATTTTGTTTCATTTATGAGTGATATTTTTTTGAACTAGGTTATCAGATACCATGTGTGTGTGTGTGTGTATCGGATATTTTATCAATATTATTGCCATCGTTTCGATGTCGTTTATGTGATATTTCCGGGTGAAAAAATTTTTCTTTGTCAAAACAATCAATACCATTGATGATAGATGGCGATACTTTACTTATTATTTTAAAAAATTTAAAGAAAGTTTTAATTTAAAAATTCTTAAAATCATTAACCGGCTTAAATTTTGATTTACCTGTTATGTTGAATACAAAATAATTGTCTTTTTAGTTTTCATTGTCTTTGTTCATTTGATTAAAAGCAAATCCTTTTTTATTCGGAGTATGTTTCTCTCTCTCTGTGTGTGTATTTGTGTCGTAATGTGCATTGTATACCAAACATATCGATTATCGATAGATCTTTTTGGAACAAACAAGATAAATTAGCTTGCAATAAGTTTTTTTTCAGACGTTCTAACGTGATAGAAACAAAAAAAAACACTTCAATACAATGTCTGGGCAATGATCCGGAAATTTTTTTTTTTTAACAAAACAAATTGGCATCCAACAATAACAACAACAACAACAACAACAACAATATTGACAACAACAACAACAAAATGATCTTTTGTTTTGATTTAAATCGAATCGATTTGAATCCCATCATTTTTTGAACATCTTCTTCGAAGAAAGAAAAAAAAACCATTATTGAAAATTATTATCCTATAATCATCACCTTCAAAATATGATTAATCAATCATCATTTTCCATAATTTTTAAATGAAAAAAAACACGTTTCGATTAAACATAAATCATTGAAATCCTATGAATCAATATATGAATGATGAAAATTGAAATTGTTCAATCGAATTAAAATGGACAATGTAATTGTGATGATTGGGAAAACATGTAATTGTGATGACAATAAATTGTAAGATTTCTTTTTGTCCAAAAAAAAAATCCTTAAATATTCTTTTTTCTTTTGTTGAATGTACAAAAAAAAAATTTTTTTTTTTTTGAATTTTTCAACAAAAAATGAAATAACTATAAAACGTTATAATAAATGTATTGCACACGCGTCTACACGTGCCATGAAAAAATTCAAAAGAAAAACAATTGAATTCAAAGAATTCAGATGGTTTTTCAACAATCATTTGAAAGAATGAATGAAAAAAAAATAGTTTGACCCCAATAAAATCAAAATACCCGTAAATTCAAATCTCAGCACAATCATCATCATCATCATCATCATCATCACTGTCAACGATTTGTCGACAAAATCGACATAGTAATTCAATTGTTCATTTTATTTTGGATCGATCAATCAATCATCATGAGCATCCTTCAACCAATGTTTGTTGTTGAAACAAAAAAAAAGTCATCGTTATTTAAATGTTGAGGTTTGAGGTCGATGGTTATATGTATACATGTGTAGGCGTTAGCCATTGTAATGTGTGTGTGTGTGTGTGTGTGTGATGTGTTTGATTGTGATTCATAATTCGTTTCAAGCAATGGGGATGATGATGATGATGATGAACGACAACTTTTTTCTATCTCTAAAAAAGCCTTGATGTGAGCTTTCGTTGTTGATGATGATTTGTTTGTTCTTCACACAAGTGTCGCAAATTTATTTGTTCCATGTGTTTTTTTTTGGTTAGTTCGAATAATGTTGATGAATGAGGCAAAATGTTTTTTTTTTCGATTTGAATTTTTTTCGCATCAAAATGTCCAACCGTGAAACGAAATTTGTTCAATTTGGATTCATCAAAATTAAAAAATGATTTTTATGTTCGATATCTTTTCTACTTATTTCATTCATTTCCATTTTTTTTTTTTTGAAATGTAGATAATGGAATTTTTCGATTAAAAAAAACTTTTTCTCTTGTTTTGTTTATTTTGAAAATTTGAAAAATGAAATCTTTCTGCTGAATTCAACGGGCAATTCCGTATATCAAATCTGTTGATATTGATACTTTCACGGAAATTTAATTAAAAATTTTATCAAAAGAGGGAAAATTACCGAAGAAAGAAATTAAAAAAAATAATAATAAGCAACCCACAAAATTGTATAATATGGGGTGGGATCAGGGCCGGCCCAGGCGCCTGTGCAGACTGTGCACCGCACAAGGCCTCGCGCTACTGAAGGCCTCGCGCTGCCTCCGGCAGCGCGGTTCCGGAAACAGCTCGCAGTCCCAAAAGCTTCGCAGTCCCAAAAGCCTCGCAGTTCCAAGAGCCTCGTAGTACTAAGAGCCTCGCAGTTCCAAGAGCCTCGTAGTACTAAGAGCCTCGCGGTTCCAAAAGCCTCGCGGTTCCAAAAGCCTCGCGGTTCCGAATTTCGGATGATTTAATAAAATGAAAATGTTTTTTGTTTTGATACATTTGAATATTATGGTAATCCTGAATCAAAAACATGTACTTCATCTAGTCAAATATCTATTAATAGTTGTGCGAATTGTTTGTAGTGGAACCAATATAGGAAAAATAAATAAACAAACAATGTCGATGGCTAAATATCTAACCTAGTAAGTGATAAATGATCAAAGAAAAATGAATAATGAATGCATTGCCTGACTTCTTTAAGATGGATTTATCAATAATTCCAAATTAAACCGATTTTCAATGGATCATGGATCATTTATCCCAAAAATTTGGTGACGAATAGGGTATGCACAATCCCGTTTGTTCACCAGTCGCCTCATAATTTAAATTCTTGTCTAAAATTCTAAAATCACAAATCAAAAAATTGACTGATTGATTGATTATTTAAATTGGAGAAACAATTAAATGAAAAAAATGTTGTGTCGACAAATTTCCAACAATCAACATCATAAGCGATTCCAGAAAAAGAAGTACAGTTGATTCTGTTGAATCAATATTCAAACAATTGGAATATATAAAACAACTTTCAGAAGAAATACTGGAAATCTTAGAAAAAGATTATTCGTTGGCGAAGCAAAAATATCCAAAGGATGATGATCCTTTTAAAGCTGAAAGCCAAAGAGAGATAAATGAAATGACCAGTTCAAAATCGAGAAAATAACAAGTCCAAACTAACACGACCAGTTCAGAATCGAGAAAATAACAAGTCCAAACTAACACGACCAGTTCAGAATCAAGAAAATAACAAGTCCAAACTAACACGACCAGTTCAGAATCGAGAAAATAACAAGTCCAAACTAACACGACCAGTTCAGAATCGAAAAAATGACAAATGTCCAAACTAACACGACCAGTTCAGAATCAAGAAAATGACAAATGTCCCAACTAACACGACCTGTTGAGAATCGAGAAAATGACAAATGTCCAAACTAACACGACCAGTTCAGAATCGAGAAAATAACATGTCCAACCTAACACGACCTGTTCAGAATTGGGAAAGTAATCAATAAAGCATTGTCAACCAATTCTGAACTGGTCGTGTTAGGTTGGATTTGCCATTTTCTCGATTCTGAACTGGTCGTGTTAGTTTGACATTTGTCATTTTCTCGATTCTAGTAAATCTTTGAAAGAACAACTCTTTTGCTATGCACTGGTGAAATATGTGTGTATGTATTTTTGATTTAAATGAAATAAAAGATTAAATGTACGTATACGTATTTAACCCATTCACGACCAAGCGTCACACATGTGTGAGGCTCAAATTTTCCACCATCTCAAATACATTTATCGAGAGCCACAAATAATCTTTTAAAGAGCCGCAGGTTGGCCGTTGGTTGCGGTTGGTTGGTTGGTTATAGTGATTTAGAATCAAAAATGACACAAAAATCTTAATGCACTTCAGAATAGAGATTGAAAAATTCTTAAAACAATTTCCTTTGTTGAACGATCATGGCAATAGTTTTACTTGGATTGAATGATTGGTAATGTTATTAATTTCATGAATCTGAAATTTTCAACGCATTTTATAATCCAAATAAAATCTAAATAACCAAAATAGAGTCGAGGTGACATTACTGATTCGAATGACGTTGATGATTTGATGATCATTAGAAAAAATTTAAATTGATTGATACAAGCTTTTGGAAATTTTTTCGGTCATAAATTGCTGCACAGACTTTATGAACGATCGCAGTTTTTTGCCAGTTGTTTTTACAAGCAGCTAAATTTCAGCGTTGGAGCAGGCCAGCTGAGGCTGAGGTCACGTAGTATATGAACGGTTAGGATTTAAAAATTTTTTCAAACAAGTGAAATTAAAAAAATTGTTTAATTTAATTTGTTTGTTTAAATCAAGTTTTTATATGATTTTCATATTAAATTTATGCAACATTCTAATGGTATGAAA